TGATGATGCGCTGAGACTTCCCAAGGGCGTGATAGACGAGATTCCGTTCATTTTTGCATAGATAATATCCAAGTCATCAATATGTGGATCCCAGGCAAATGGTGGTGACACAGGGTAGTTCATAGATTTGGTTTGACGAGGTGTGAGTTCATGAGATTGCTGGTGGCGATGTAGTGAATAACCATCAATTCCCAGGGTGGTTGTCGCCAGAGTTTGTTGACCACCTATTGCTGTTCCTTTCCGAGGAAAAACGACAGGTACACTATCTCGTCGTTTTTTTCTCCTGTCACTGCTGCTGCTGGACGACCACGGCGAAGTTGGTGATGATGGTGATCCATATGACGATACTGTCGACGCATAGCCTTTTTCATATAGCAAACTTGTCCTCATTTTGAGTGGGAAAAAATATCAAGCCATACTGGGAGGTTCTAATCCAAAGATGACTACTTTGTTACACAGACAACCTTCATTTTCCCTAATACAATTACTTCACGTTTGATGTTTGATATGGTGATCTTTTTTTTCCATGCAATCAATGATAAAAAGAAAAAAAAAATACATAGACATAGAGAGATAAGGTTTTTTTTATTAAGATTGTAAAAAAAAAAACGGAAGGGGGAAGTAGAGAGTCCACAGGACAATGGCTAAATTATAAATGATATAGTATAAAAAGATAAAAGGTAAAAGTGCGTGTGAGAAGTGGAAGGGACAAAAGTAAAAGTAATAAAAAATGGGATGCTGCTATACTAGCTACTTTTCCATCATTCGTCTGCCAATTGAGCTTGAGCTAATCTTGCTTCCAAGTTTCGAAGAGCTTCTTCCTTGCTTAACAATTCCGCACGTTTTTCTTGAATTTCACGTTGGACCTTCAATTCAATTTCACGGAGCTAAATGTGTGACAAAAGAAAAAAGAAGTGTTGGTATTTTGATCAGCCATTGGTTTCAATTTTTACCTTCTCTTCTTCCTTTCGCAATTGTTCTTCTTTGAGTCGCACACTTTGGCTAGCCATATCATCGGCATTCAATGAAGCATCTCTATCAAAAGATAAAAAAGAAATTGAGATAAATTTAGTTCAATGTTGAGGTTTTTGTATCGTCGCTCCTGCAATGCCAACTTACTCTTGATCGCCACCATTCACAGTACGGGACAATTTTTCGGTACGATAGTTTTCATACAAGAAGTCATGAGTGATTTCCTTGAGATCTTGTAAATGGGAGCTGAGCAAAGCTGATCGTAATCGTCCAAAGTCAGAATGTTGAGGATTATCCACTTCAACTGCACCCCAAGGATATTGTCGGCCCCGTACAGTCCGGCCGTTCACCACGATTTCTTCATCACTTCCAATAATAGCAAATGGCAAAAGGTCCTAAAAAAGCATATCCATAAAATTGATGAATTTATGAACAGTAAGATAGTCAGTAAAAAGGATGTATTTTATAACTTACTCGTAATTCACTGTTTTCTTCAATGGTATCTTCATCATCTTCTTCCACGTCATAAGGGAAGTTGTAAATGGGAATATTGTAGTGTTCAATATCTTCCATAATCTAGATCAATACAAAGAGGCGTCAATAATAATAAAAGAAAAGCATCATAGTCCAATCTTCCTCTTCATACTTACTCTTTTTTTGAAATCCTTTAATTCTTGAGGTGTTAAAGAATCAGCTCGGCCTACTACAGGAATCACATTTACACGAGGACTAAGACGACGCATCAATTCAATATCAATTTCACGCAACCTATATCAAAAATAATATAATTAGTCAACCAGTCCCTCCTTTTTTTTCAATCAGTAACAAGGGACTTACGCATGACCCGTGGGGGAAATAAAGTAAAGGAGTGAATGCACCCGATTATCACGGAACCGAGGATTACGCTTGATTCTTGATTCTTCGGCGAGAATGTCATCATATTGTCTTTCCAAATAACCAACAATTTCTTGGAAACTGAAGAAAAAGTTAATACAAGAGTATATGTCAAAAAGTGATAGGAAAAGGAAACTTACCATCTTTCATTGTCAATATTGTCACCAAAACCAGGGGTATCAACAATAGTCAAAGAAATTCTAAAGAGATAGAAAGGAGAAAGATGAGTATGATGGTGGTAACACCAAGTAAATCAAATCATATAATACTTACCGAACACCATCTTCGTCCAATTCTAATAACAATAAACAAATAAACCATGATAACATATTAGCACACAATATCAAAAAAGTGTCTTTTTATTAATTTACCGACAGAGACAGGCTTGATGTTGATGCCAGGTTCGTTGTGAGCTTCTTCAGGGTTATCACATACTTGTCGTTCTAGGACCCCAGAGTCACAAAGAGTGTTCACAAACGTTGTACGGCCAGTACCAGAAGCACCTATTTATTGGGAAAGAAAAAAAAAAAGCAAGTTTAAGTGCAAGTTGACGAAAGTTACGTGTCGAGAAAAAAAAAAAAAAAAGAAAGTATCTTTACCTACTACCATGAGGGTAAATTGGAACCCTTTCTTGACGTTTTTTCTACGACCACCAAGTCTCTATATTTCATAAAAAAGTAAATTAAAAAGTTGGTATTTTTGCTGTCATCATCATTATCAACATCATCATCATCATTATCAATGTCATCATCATCATTATTTTCATCATGAGGCTACTGTTTGTCTTACATGAGCCATAAGAGAATATAGAAGTTTTGATAAAAAGTTTGAGAGAAAGAAAGGATGGGGAAGGGATTAGGGAAGAGAGGGAGAACGATGATATAAAACAAGAAGGAAAGAGAGAGAGCGAGAGAGAAAGAGAGAGAGAAAAAAAAAAAAAAAAAAAAGGAGAAAGAGAAAGAACGAGGAGAGGAGTGACAAGGAGGGAAAAAAAAAAAAACAGAGACAGATTGAAAGGTGGCACTGAAAGTGGAATAAAAATTTGATTGGACAAATCCTTAATTCATATTGATATTCCGATATTGTTCTCTGTTTTTGTGCGTACCAATACAACTAAAATGTTTAAACGCAGTTTCTTAAATAAAGATCGATTTACTTTAAACTTAATAAAAATAACAATCCTATCCCATGCCTGTTGTCAATATTTGTGTCTTGCATATTTAAAATATGTGCACTTTTCCTTACTAAAATAAAAATCAACAGAGAAATGTTTTTCAGCGGACATTCCTTGAACCAACAGTATTAAAACGCTATAATAAGTCTCACAAAAAAATTATATAAATCATTTCGAATAAAAAAAAATAGTTCACTCTCTGTTTTTGCCATCCAGCTGATATTTTCCTTTTTTGGGAGGGGAGGTATACTGCAGATTGGATACCATGACCTTTTGCACTGAATCAATGAAAATTAATATCTTATCAAATAGGTACTTTATTTACTGTATACTGTAACTTGCTAAAATTATCCATGCTTATGCTTTTTAAAATAAAAATAAAAAAATATTTGGCCACCATTAACCGGACATGGAAGACACGAGAGACCATAAGTTTAATCATTATATTCAATCAAATTATATGTCAACTCCATCACCGTTTTTACTGCTAGTATTATCAGATTTGTTAGATTTATATTTTAGTATAAATAGCTCACCGTCCTCAGCTTTTATCAGCTTTTTTAATACCTCTCAAATAAATTTTTTAAAAGGTTGCAATAAACCATCAAAACCTCTGACTACTATTTCTATATTTACATATGAATATTTGATTACAATTTTCTGACATTCTAGTCTTTATTTTATGTTCTCCTTTACGACAAAACTTACTTTAACTTGTATCTCTCAGTAAAGGAAATAATTGCCCCTGAACGGACTTTGAATCACACCTATTTCTATTTTTCTTACCTTGTTTCAAAAGCATGTAAAATTTCTGGTGATGACTTATGGCTACTCTATAAAATGTAGGTGCAAGAAACTATTCAAAGTCTATCAAATCTTACTACCAAACAAAACCTATTCGGTATCTAACTATATCGAAAGCTTAAAAACAACAACACTCAACACTTAAAAAGGACTGGTAATCACTCTATGTGTCGGGTCCAGCATTGAAGACACCGCTGGGGAAATTGCTGCTGACATTTTTGGTTTTAACCAATTAATGGACTGGGCCATGAATGAAAACTAGTCCATAGAAAATACATTCATACATTTAAAAAAAAATAGAAAATACATATATACATCCAAAAAAAATTAGAAAATACATTCCATAGATGAAAAACACAAAAACAAACCATCTCTATAGATATCAATTTTTTAGTATAAATAGCCAACTTTTTATTATTATCCTTTTCTTTCTCTTTAGTTTTTTTTTTCACGCTTTTCTCATTTAACAAATAAAAGTTCAGTACAAAAGGTTTTTTTTATAACCACCAAGTTATCAAGTTATCAAGTTATTTCTATTTTGCTATAGAAATCTTTATTTATTTTATTTTCAGAGTCAACTATACTCTCACTTTTTATTTTTTATTGAACCAGCTAAGGTCAATACTTTTACTTTATTTTATTTTATCAAGTTTTCTTTTCAAAAACTATCTTTTATTTCAAGTTGGACTTTATCTACAAAAGTTCTGGTGCTCACTACTCGTTATCAAATACATATTTGGTGTGATATATATCTGGTGCTCTCTCTATAAACAAAAAGTCAATTCAGGGACCACAAAAAAAAATCGAATTTCAAATTCCGTCCAGAGAAAAAATAAATCGCTCTTGACTCACACTAAGTAAAGCCGTTCCACTAGGAAGAAAAATTAATATAATACAAGACATATTTTGGTGCAAGATACTATTCTAAGCTATACCAAACTATACAAATAACATCAAAAACATCAAGTCTACCACAACATATTTGGTATTCACACATAACAAAACTTAAAAACAGCCACAACATATGAAAACAATATCCAACAAAAGCACACAAGCTATAAAAATGATATAGCCTAATTGAAAGGCTACTTTTTTTTAATGGATGCATTATACAAAAATAGAAAGAGACAAATGAAAGTCTTGCAAAAGAAAAAATTGGAGCCGCAGGGAATTGAACCCCGGATTTTTCGCATGCAAAGCGAACGCCATACCACTAGACCACGACCCCATGTTATGAAAACGAACTAAAAATCTGAATTATAAAGAACTATAGCGGCGTTTTAAATGGACCAATAGAATTGGTTGCATATACGGTTGAAGTATACGGCCGAAAACTTAATCTAAGGTACGCTTCTGGTGTGGGTGTCCCACCTATTTAAAAGGGAAAAAATACCAGTTGTTCTTTCTTTTCCTTGTGAATGTACTGCTTTTACACAAGTGAACCTAGCTATTCTACAGGTAAGGGTGGACTATTTTACGGTGTGTGACGAGATAAAATATTTCAAAGACCGCAATGGGAATATTTATTTTCGCGCTCTTCTCATTTTCTTTTTTCTTCTTTGATTCTTCACATTTGTAGCTCCTATGGGAATATAGTGGACTTAGAATAGTGGACTTAGAATAGTGCTAGGACTAGTTTAGAAGGGTTTTCAGCTAGGGATTACAAGATGTATGGGGAAACGCTTTCATTTTGGATTTAAGATTTCGAACCACCATTAGTTGGCCTTTTGGAGCACTCATTAACTTGAGTTTAGTATTAGTTTATCCATAGTCTGTATCTACATTTGAATAAAAATGTCTATTTTTACATGTCTTATGAAAAATGTCCACCTAGTTTCTTTCATGTATTGTCCATTAGCTTTTTTTTTTTTTTTTTTTTTTTTTTTGTCGACAGCAAGAAGCCACTTTTTTGGGAGATCGACTATGATGGTGAGTTTCTTTTTGGACTGGTCAAATATACGGTACATATATAAATAAAAATCAAAGACAACAATGTTAAACAACGACAAAGACAAAAGTAAGTAAGTGGTAAAAACAAAATGGGTTTATTCAAATAAAAATAAAATAGTTAAAATGAATATCATAATAGTTTCTTGAGTGTAAATGTACAGCACTAAAGTCATTTTCAAATGGTTATGAGTGATTTTATATTCGACCGTTCACCTTGAGCGGCGATGCACTGTGCAAAGTATATTAAACCCCGAGGGTTCGCGTATCTAGGATACGACAGTGTCACTAGTTAATGTAAATCAGAAGATACTAAGATTTATAGGTACCGGATGGTATTCTATATAACACAGCTTATTAGCATTAAAGTATTGGAGTTCAAGCGGCGAATGATCGGATCACAAATAATGCATGATGTGATATTTTGAAGACAATAACAAGAATCATAAAAAAAAGCCAGGTTCTTTATTTGCAGAATAATAAATATCGAACTAATATCTATGACGAGATAAATATGAAAAAATATAACTAAAAGTGGAGATAGACAGATAGAGATAGAGAGGGGTGTGCGTGTGTGTGTATGTGTATGCGTGTAAGATAGTTTTACTATAGTAAGATAAATAGGGAATAACTAAAGACAAAGATCGAGAGACAATAGGTTCAAGATTGAGAAGAAGGATCATCACTGGCAATATGCAGGTTTCCAAACTGTTGTTGAAACTGAAGAGACCCGACACGTTCACAGTGCTGCTGGGTGTTGACGCCATTGTTTGCAGCAACAGAGGAAGTAGTGCCAATATGATTCTTGAGAAGAAGAGAAGAAGAAGAAGAAGGAGAAGAAGAAGAAGAAGAATTCCGTCGGGTTTCCTTTAATCCAGTTGAAGAAGAAGGTGGTGGATTCATGAGAAAAGATGACTGCTCGGCGTGGTGATGAGTAGCAGTCGTAGTAGTGGTAATAGCAGCACCGCTTTTAGCCATTTCGATCATTCGTTCCAATTCCTGCGCCCGAGCTTGATAGCAGGCCACTTGTTCTCGCAAATCCTTGATGTAGTCCACCGAGAATTTCAAAATAGTTCCTTTATTGATAGTCTTGCCACCGTTTTGAATATTACTCGAGTGATTGGCATTTGAGCTGCTAGGTGCATTTTCCAATACATGGTCCGGTAACAATGTGGATAATTCTAACGCCCCCCCGTGAGAAAAAAAATAGTGAGTGCTTTTTGGGTTGCCGCTTTCCCCTAACCCCAACAAATTTACCTTGAATTCGGTCATTGATATTGTCTCTACGTCGTCGTTCCACTGCATTGTGTGATTCCCTTCGCCTTCGTCGTTTTTCAAAGATTTCCTGTAAACTATCATTATATATATATATATATATACATATATGGGGTTAATGCCTTAAGTTATGCATGTCTTCCTATGTAAATCATATTTTTTTCTTACTTCCGTTGTTGTGCTTCATCATCGTCATTACCAACCAATCCATCTAAATGACTAGTAGAGCTTGAAGGTGATACTATCAAGTCATTCCGTCCACCGTTCGGGATAGTTGTGTACAGTGCTGAAGGAGGCGACTGACCAAAAGAAGAGCTAGAGTCCAGACTTGTCCCAAACCAATTTGAAGCTGTTGGATCCACTGTAGTAAACGGTATGCCTCTTGGCGGACTCATGGCAATAGAGGCTGCAGTTCCAAAACTATTCTGCCGTTGGTGAGGATGGTGATAAGGCGACCCATGACCAAACACGCCACCACTGCGCTGATGGTGTTGTGAAGCTCGTACTGGCATAGCACCAACTGTAGTATGTTGTGAGGTCATTGCTTGCTGGAAAGAATCAGAATCCAGGTGGAAGTCATGTTGTGTTGGTGAATACATTGGCTTATTTATAAAAAAAAAAAAAAAAGAAAAAAAAAAAAGAAAAAAGAAAAGAGGAGCAAACAAATAAAATCCCATGACCACTTGTAATAAAAAAAAAAAGGGGGACGACTGTGTTTAAAATTGAGGAAGACAATGTGCTTTTATTTCTGACAATGTATAAACTATAAACTACAATAATAAAACTAGACTACATCCGCCTTTGATAATCGTTGTTTCATTTGATGTTCCCATTGAATGTAATCCTTGTATTTCTTGGATGACCTATAGTCTTGCACATTGATCATAGACACAATACCAGAGACAGCACCGCGCTTTTTGGTTGGCGCCTTTTTCAGCAGCACAGAGTTTTCTTTGGGTATAGATGGTTGCTTAATGGTGCTGATATTTGTGTTGTCGCTGGAATTTTTTCTAGATGATTTCACTTCTTTCGCCTTCGTTTTTGTCACAATTAATCGTTCATTCGTTTTCGATTTCTTCTTTGTTGGCTTGGCTTTATCATTACACTCGTCGTTGCCGTTGTCGTTATCAGCCGCCTTCACCGTCGATTGTCGTTTCCTTGATGGACGTGATGAGGATGTTGAATGTGTTTTCAGTTCCTTGATTTGACTTTCGCATTCTTGTTGGATCAGTTGCACACTTTTTTTGAATTCAACACTATCACATGTACACAGGGTTTGAAGTTTGGTTTTGTCAATATGTACCTATGTACAAACAAGTCAGTCATTAAATATATATATATTCTATACTACTTCATCGATTTCACTTACTCCTACTGCTTTAGCACACACATAAAAGGCAGCAGCTTTCCATAATGCTGACTCCAGTTGTTTTTTGACGGATACTTGTTGAGCTGGTCCCAGTTGATTAATATGCTGTTGTACAAACGTGGACCATAAATCTTGAGCATGAGTAGCCATAGTCGTTGATCCAAATGTAACGCCTAGTGTATCAAATGTGATTGTCGACTGCAAATTCAAAAGTTTTCGTACCGCAGACATAGTTGTATCGTAAGCTTTTGGACTGCACCCCGCTAATTCAGGTGCCAATTTGCTGTTCCAGTCATAAAACCCTAGACTTTAACACACATACCCCCCAAAAATAATAGATCAGAACAAACTTCTTTTATTTATCATCCACTTGCTCCTTTACCTTTCATAGGCCAATTGAATGCTAATGACGTGTTGACTGTTAGGACCTTTGAAGGTCTTCACTGGGACCTTAGACGCACATTGGCTTTGGTATTGTTTAGCACGTTCAAGAAGCTTTGTATTGTCACCTAAGTGAAGGCGTTCTAGACAATGATTCAAAGGATTCATCCACAAGGAGTTGTAAAAATAAAGACGAAAGAAAGAAAGAAAAGTGAAATGCCCGCCTGTCGTTATTTTCTCAGCCACTTCGCCCACCCATATTTCACATTTCACAACTGGCGGGATTTGAATAGGCTCCTAGGCTTAAAAAACCAATGAAAAAGTACCAGCCTAACTCGCTTCAAGGCAGCAAAAGGCACCAGAGGACGCCAAACGACCTCAACTCTATTTTGAGCGGTATTTGTTCACGCTGGGTAATTTTTTCTGCTACAAGATTTACCAACGGAGAGGTCTTTTGACAACACAATAGCGGCGGGAAAAACGTCCTGCTATTTCACCATAATAAAATACGAGTGGCTGTGGAGGACAAAAAAAAAAAAAAGGTAAAAGCAAGTGAAATAAAATAAACTGAGACAATATATAGAGGGTAGACACCAAGTAGTTTATTTGTTGAAGATAGATCAAAATAAAAAAGAAAAGACACCACATTTTGGGACAGAAAGCCTAGCAACGTACATTCAGACTAAGTAGCAAAAGCTTGAAGATATTGGTTGCTTAATGACGTATAAATAATAATACTAATACTAAAAAGGGACAATATGGATAATGATATGTTGAAGCCTAAGGAATACAATAGCTAAAACTATAACGTAATGGAAAAAGGTAGCTGAACTAATTAATTTTTCTTCTAAAGTATATCAAAAACTATACAGTATTTCTAAAACGTCTAGTCTAGTCCATCCTAATGGAACAAGTTGCCTGAGTTCATTGTGCCAAATTATACAATGTAATCTTTCCTATAGATGCGCAGTTCTATTTTTAAGATCGCGTCAATCTAGAAAAAAGAAGGAAACACAATGAGTACGCTCCATTTTCAATATAGTCGGCTTTTATCCGTATCGTCTCTTACATTCAAAAAGGTATAAGATCTTGTTCAATAAGATAACACCAGAGGAGGGACCCAAGTAGCAAAAAGTCAGATACATACAGTAAAGCCACCATCAAAAATGAAAACTTGCCAGGCATGAATAACAAGAGAGAGAGAGAGAGAAAAAAAAAAAAGGTCAGTATGCATGCGGTGTTCAAATATTTGTGGG